AGTCCAACTGGCCAAATCTGCCAAATATGGAGTGCAAATCTCAGAGTAGGTTTGTTGGTGTTACAAGGATGTCAACAATCATGGAATGGATGCTTCAATTGGTGGAAGATTGACAAGATTATGCTCTTTCAAACCATAGGATCCACTGCTTGAGATAATGTATTGGTTGGGAAGGAACGGTAGCAATGCACAGTTGAGTTCTAGATAATTGATGGTTCTAATTTATCTATTTTTAAAATTGCTGTAATCCTAAAGAGGGAATGTGTATGCGCCTTCAAGTCAGTTTTTGACTCCTGATGACCGTCTGGACAGTTTTCTGTCTGCAGTTTTCTTGGCAAGATTCCAGAAGTGGTTTGTCATTGCCTCCTTCCCAGGGTTGAGAAAAAGGGACAAGTTCACCCAGCTGGCTTTGTATCCAAGGTGGGATTACAACTGCCACCTTCTGGTTTCTATCCTGATGCCTTAACCATTACACAAACTGGCTCTCGAAATACATTGTAGGATGAATTAAATATCATTGGAATAGATCATTGCTTCTTAAAATATTGGATTGAAGTTGAAGCCAAACTGGCTCTCCAAGCTATCCCAGGAGAATCTTAAAAAAAGCAATTTTTTTTTAAAAAAAATGGCAAAATCAGATTTTATTTATCACCTTTCTATACTGCCCATTTCACCTAAGCGATTCCAGACATTTTACAAACTATTATGTGCTTCTAGTTCTTGTAGCATTAAAGTTTGGAGGCAGAATGTGGCAGATATGTCAGAGATCTGGCTTTTTACACTTTGCACACCTTTTGCAGCTGTAGATTCATGTTAGCAAATTGGCTGTCATTAAAATCTTCAGTTCTGGAGACTTCCTTCTACGTTTATGAAGTCTTTTGTGTGTGTGTGTCTATTTAATACAATTGTTTGCATGAAATAGTCTCATGTGGAATTTGTTTGATATCGAACCCTGTGATTAATGGAATGATTCTTAGAGCCACCTAGTGAGCATCTGGCAAGATGTAATTTCATTTGGCAATTTTCTCCTGCCTAAAAATTAGCCATTATTTCTGCTGCTGCAAAGGGTGGATTTGATGACTTGGAAAAGACCCCCTTAGCTCAAGGCTCCCACTTGATGTAAATTGTAACCTCAGAAACTGAGTTAATATTTCAAAAATTAGTTCTGAATTGAATGCACAGCTCATGCCATGCCTAGCATTGCACTTGTTCTAGAGGCCAATGGAAGTATGTTATTGTTAGTTTTTTTTTTTTAATGTAGTCTTTTTTGGAACGTTGGTTCATCTCAGGGAATTGGAATGGCATGGGGACCAGAAATGCCTTTGGAGCATGCAGTGAAAAAGCACTGCTCTTATATCAAATGCTGGTGTCCGTTTTTCCATTCTTCTCCTTGTTCTACAGAGTAAAGTACATTTTGAGGGGAATTGTCAGGCGAGATACCGTAGTTCAGAGCAAAAGCACCTAGAAGTACTAATTTTATCTTAATTGTAAGGTTATGTCATTATTTCTGAACTTGGTGACTTGAAGAAGTGTGGACTTCAAGTCCCAGAATTCCATAGCCAGCATGTTTTCCACACTTATTCAAGTCCATAACTCTTCAAGTTACCAAGGTTGAGATACAAAATCTTGCAAGTCTGAAAATATCTCTCTCCACCATCGTCTTTACATTTCAAGAAACTAATGAGGGTCCCTCCTGAGGCATTTGCTCCACCCTCATTTTTTTCTGTGGGCTCAGCTGCCTCTTATCTGATTGATACTGAGCTTCATCTCTTCCTCCTGTATCCCAAGGTCATTCTCACATACCATTAAGGGGATTGACCAACTGGGGTTCCCATCACCTTTGCCAGAGGAAAAGATCATGTCTAAAGCTTGGTATCTGAACAATAAAACTAAAGCATGAAGGGGTTGTTTCCTTTCCTGTCCGATCAGGAGAATATTAGTTTCTGTGCAGCTCTGCAAATTAGACCCAGGAGCAGGAGAAAGCCTCGAGGAGAGGCAAATTTACTGCTCTGAATTCATTGTTGTGAATTCTGAAGTTGGCTCTTTGTAGGGGAAGATCAAGTTGTTTTTGGCATGTTGGACTACCGACCAGAAAATTAAATGTGCATCAGGGAGCTAAATGCTGATAAATCAGTTGCTTTGGATAGATGTCCCACACCAAGTAGAAATTAAGCTACATGCAAGTGGTGGGTGGTTGGATGTCAGCAGCAGGGTTTAAATCCTAATCCTTTTCTCCCACTCTTTATTCAGTAGACTTTTAGCTGTTCTTTTCTTGGCCTTGGGAGTCGGGGATACCTGTTCCATGTTTATATAATATTCTGTCTGGCCTGAGAATGGTGGCTTTGCCAATGACAAATGTCAGCCTTTACAGCAGCACACCCTGTATTTTATAAAGCAACCTGACAGCAACAATCAGGAGCAGTCATATTTATGTCAGTGCCCTGAAGAACGTTCTTCCTCCTCCCTCAATAGGCATATGAAAAAATCAGGTGGTGTTTTTGTGTAGGTACCACTGTGTGAAGACAGTGATCTGTGAGCCAGGAGGAGCACATGTGAACCTTAAAAACTCAGTCAATAGACTTTGGAGTGATATTGTTTTGGGGGTGAGCAAGATGGTCTACTTGGGGGTGTCAGGTGCAGTACCTTCACTACCAGGAGGCAGGCAGTATGTGACCTGTTTCATTCTGATTCATGGTCACAAAGAATTGCAACTTTGCTGGATCATAGGACAGATCCACAGTCTTTTTTCCTTGGATACATTTGAATTTGCTAATTATGCAACCTGAGTAAGTTGCCACTTTGCTGTACCTTACCTCAAGCTGTAGCATAGGGATGATAATGATGATTGACATCTGTTGCTTTTTTATGGCAAAGTCTGTTCACTTTTTACAGGGTCAGGAAGTTCTTTTTTCAAACATCTCTTATAATAAACGGATTGTAATATACAACCCATACTACCTGGTTCCTGGATTAATGACTTTCTGGGTTTAAAACAACAATTGGCTCATCTCTTGTCTCTCTGTCCTCATCATTCCTGATGGAAAGACACCTGTAAGGGCTTTCTGTTGGTTCTTCTCAGATGGTTAGATTTTATGTGGAAGAGATGGTCTCACAGATACCCAGGACCTATTCGTGTCACATAATAAGCCACTAATGATGCATTGAATTGTACCTGGAAGCCAGCTGGCAAATAGAGCCACTCTCTCAGAAGTGGAGTTATAAGGAAAAATCAGGATTGAATTATTACCATGTAGACAACCGTAGCTTCTGAATGGTCTTTACGATGAGCCCATGCACAGTGAATTTCAGTAGCCTGGTTGTGAGGTAATAAGCACTCGAATAAACATGAATAAAGCCGCCTGATGCAGGAAACACCTGAAACATTAGCCAAAGTCAGAGGAAAGCTTTCCTGGCCATCTATCAAGAGATATGAGTCCAGGAGATTGCCAGTTTGCAAATCTGGTCTTTATTTGGGAGTGCATCTTCATGCAGAGACAAAGTTGGAAGTTTTCTAGAATTGGAGGACTTCAGAATCAACAGAAACTGTTATCTTGCTATGTTTAATACCAAGCTAACCACACAGAATGAATTCAGGGACATTTTAAACTGCAAAAAAAGCCCTAACCAAGGTTAAAATTAATCAAACTTAGTATATTGTCCAAATGAGGCTGTTAGGGTTGTAAATGACCTGGGTGAGCTTGTTGTGTGAATCGCAATACCTGATCCTATGGCCTGCAGAAATACCATAGTCAGAGTATGGTCATTTAAAACTTTGTTCTAGAATGGAGGTCCTCTAATGTATTTGCAACCAACTGATTGACTGACTATCATCTTTGTTGCTTTTGTCTGTACGCTTTCTAGCATCTCAACAGGTCTGGAGGCTAAATCATGTGATGAACAATTGATATATGTCTAGCCTAAGGCAGAGAAGGACTAGGGGTGACATGATAGCTGTCTTCCAATATTTGAGGAGCTGTCACCAACAAAAGAGGTTTTATCTGAGGTCAGGACAAGAAATAATGGGATGAAGATCATTAAAAAAAGATTCAATTTAGAATTATGGAGAGATTTCCTGTCAGAGAAGAATGGCTTACCTCCAGAAGTTGTGGTTTCTCCATCACTGGAGAATTTCAAGAGACTGTACAGCCATTTGTATGGAACAGTACAGCGTCTCCTGCTTGAACAAGGGGTTGGACTAAAAGATCCCCAAGTCCCTTCCAACCCTATTATGTTATGTTCTTTATTCTAAATATCCTGACTTATGCACCTATTGTATTTATATTTCACTGAAGTGGATGTCTATCCAAACAAAAAACAATTACATACAAGTTTTTCATCAGATCAGGAGCAAAAGCATTAAAAAGGGGGGGGGGGGTGTTATATGGAAGCCTGCAGAGACCATCAGCGCTGGTCCCTGGATTGGGGAAGCCCAAGGGGTGAGATGTTCTTATGGGTCCTGCTTCCAGGGGCAGCCATTCCCCCCAACTTGCCACTATTTCTGTCAGAGTATTTGCTTTTCACTCTTTCTGGGTCTAATCTGCTCAGGCTCCCAGAGGGAGAAACTTCTGGTAGTGACTACTCATCCTTGCTTCATTGTTTGCTTGCAAACAGAAGGCAGAAGACTTTTGGAATTGTCCCTTGGTAGAACATGGGCATTGCAGATATTCAATAACACTGTCTGTGCATACTAACCCTAAAAGCAGACCTAACTGCCCAGGCAACTGTTCAGATTCAATCTCTGATGGCTTTCCAAAGAAAGGAGGAGGAGGAGAGGCAAATCAGCATTCCTGCTTCACTCAAAAGGGATTGCTTTCATTTGAGAATGCAGGAGACCGGGGCCCTTTGCGTCCATCCAAAGGCTAGGGGTAGGCAGGAAAAAACTTAACCAGTATCAGCATGGATCTCCCTGAATGTGTTGTAGGACAAGTCCTATCCTTTCCTGGCTGTGAGATGATGCCCCTGGACTGCCTGACACTCTATTTGTGGTTCCCCCCTCCCAGATGGCAGTTTAAAGAAACTTCGAAGTAACATTCGTCGCAGCACAGAAACTGGGATTGCTGTGGAGATGAGAAACAGGGTTACCCGTCAAGGCAGTCGGGAATCAACTGATGGAAGTACTAACAGCAACAGCTCCGAGGGCACGTAAGTCCTGCTATTCATTAACACAATCATTGAACAAAGAGTAGACATTGCACAGAGAATATAAAAACAAGTGTTACACTTTTTTTAAAAGGAAAATGTCCTGCTAATATTAGCTCATAGATAGGAGCCTCCCAAATACTGAAATGTCTTTCAGTTGCTTTATTGTCCCATCTCATGTGAAGGCAGGAAGAAGGTGCTGGAATAAAATGCAGGAGGAGAAAGATGCATCTTTTTTTCTGCATGTTCTTTCAAGCTATGTCTTCTTTTTCTCACAAACCGTATTTCTTACCCTTTCCTTCAGATTCATTTTCCCCACAACCAAGCTGGGAGTTGAAAGCCAGTTCAGCGACTTCCTAGATGGTCTTGGACCAGCACAAATTGTAGGGCGACAAACATTGGCTACTCCACCAATGGGTGAGTGAACCTTTGGTGACCATCTCAGCCTGTTGTAATGACGAGGCAGTCGCGTTGTTTGATCATGAACAACTGAATCATGATGATCTTTATTGGAGTCTAGTCTTGCATTTATACACATTTTTAGTTATCCTCCATCATTGGTTAACTTTGGTTACTGCTTAACTTTCGTTACTGTTTAGCACAGTAATCCATACAATTAATTATCTCTAGTTAAAGTCTAACATATGTTTACTTCCTCTCTCTAATCCTCCTTTAGATTAGTGACTTTGTTTACCTGAGTTGTATTTGCTTGGAAACATTCTTTATCTGAGGTTTGCCATCCGAGATTGGAACATTCCTGCAATTACAACTCTACATCAGCCCTTTTGAGGTTCAGGGTTATTTGATGGAGGAGGATCTCATTTGGATCTTTCTTAATTAACAGTCTCCTTGGGTCCATGTTTTGTGAGGGACTATATAGAGTGCATATATGTATATGTGTATGTATGTATGTAAATTTGACATGAATCAGGTTTAGCTGTCTGCAAATTTCAGAAGGGGAGTGGGACTCAAGTTGTTAAAGTTGCTTTAGGATGTACACAATATTCTAGGACTATTTTTAATTCATGCTTCTTTTATCTTAACATGTGAATAGATCAAGGTAAGTTGTAATTAATTTTCCATGTTGATTTAAGGAGAGTGTAATTCATTTTGGTAAAAACTCATGGATAAAGAATCTGTGATTCCCCTGGTGCTGCTGAATTTATTTATTTATTTTTATTTATGGATTAAATTTATACGCTTTCCATTTCTCTTACCCTTGGCCGTGTTCCTTAGATTTCCTGGAAGGTACGATTCAGCAATTTTTGGAGAACACTAACAGCTCAGTCACAATTCCATGGTTTCCATAACTTAAAAAGGTCTCCTAATATAGATCTACCACAAAACATTAAGATGAGCCAAAACACCACAGTCACACATGGAAATGGGACAAGTGTGAAGGGCAAAAAGCTATTCTTTATTACATAAAAAAAAAATCCTACTGAATTTTGAAGGAAGACATTTTTCTCAGGGGAATAATATTAATCAAACAGCTTATTAAAGAAGAATGCACACCAACTGTTTTGGGACTTTTTAAAAATAAAGGATACTTTTCCCCCTTTCACACTGTCTTTCTCTCTCTTAATTTTGCACAATCACATGTGGACAGCACAAAGCTCTTGAGTTGTGTCCATGCTGACTTTACTGCTCCTGCTTCCTAGGTGATGTCCACATTGCGATGATTGACCGGAATGGACAGCTAGAAGTGGAAGTGATAGAAGCTCGAGACCTCACACCCAAAGTAGCAGCTAAATCTTTTCCTTGTAAGTAATTCCTTCCCGGATAAGACTGAATAGAGATAAGATGAAAAGCTGTCTGGAACAATTCTTGGTAATTACAGAAAGTCGTTCATCTAGTTTATGTCTGTTCTTTAAAATACCGCAGATGTACATTCAGCCAATCAACCAAGAAACGTCTAAGCAAATTAATATGTTCTGAAGTCAATTCAAACTTTTTAAAAACTCGGAAGCTAAATATTTTTACTGTAACAGCAAAATTCTCACCCAGTCAAAAGCAGGCAGCCCGGCTGCTTTGGTTACCCAAACTGGATCTGGTTGTTACCCAAAGTAGACTGAAAATTCCTTCCCTTCACTTCTAGTCCTTTACACAGAGCTGGCAGGAGGAAGTGGCAAAGTAATTTGAAGATTTGAAGATCTCAATAGCAATAGCACTTAGGGTTATATACTACTTCACAGTGCTTTACGGCCCGCAAAAAGCGGTTTACAGAACTTCCAATAATCTGGGTCCTAATTTTATTGACCTCGGAAGGATGAAAGGCTGAGCCAGCCTGGAGCCACTCAGAATCGAACTCCTGGAAATCCCATTTTAATGCACGGAAGTAATTGAAATCCTTCCCTAAGGATTTGCAGGCTTTTCTACAATAAATGGAAATGTTTGTATCTTTGTGTACCCTGTTAAGTGTTGTATTCCTGTTTCCTGGGTTGAATCCCCATACACAGCTGTTGGTATAGCTGTACTATATTGAATGTGGGTTACTGGATTCGCTCAGCCTTTAATATAATAGGCAATTCCATTAAAATGTACTTAATTACATTCTTTATTTATAAAATATCTGTGGCCTAGGATTGAGAACTTCCACTTAAATCAAATCAATTGGATTTGAGTTTCTTGGCACATGCAGGTAGCAGTCCTTGAGAAGGATCCGAAATTGAATCTAGCAATTACAATTATAAACCAGGAGAGTCATAAAACAGGTTGCCGTGTTACCAAGCCCAGTTTTATGACCTTTTTTTTTTCCAATGGTGATTAAGTAACACCATGGTCATTAAGCAAAACCCATTGCTTATTATGGGGCTTTTTTTGGGGGGGGGGCAAAAACCAGAAGTAAAGACCAATTTCTGGTGAAATCATTGTAAATCGCAATCATGTGACCAAGGGGTGCTGCAAATGGCCAAAGTACCCCAAGTGAAGTCACAAGGGAGGCCCAACATCAGAATTTTGAAACTGGGTCTGTGGTAACTTAGAATGATTGCTAAGCAACCAGTTATAAGTTGAGGACTACCTGCAGAGGGTTTTGCCAGCCAAAAACGTTATTGCAAGCATGAAAGCATCCTTGAGGGGACCTGAGCTTGGTTGTTTTCTTATGGACGTTTCATTACCCAAACTAGATAACATCTTCAATAACAAGCACTTATGATGTTATCTAGTCAAATAATGAAACATCTGCAAGAAAACAACCCAGCTCGGAGAGAGCACCAGCCCTGTAGTTCACAGTTTAAATGCGACTCCTCATTTCAATCCTGAGCTACAATATTCTCCTTTATTGGTAAAGCAGGTTTGCCATCGCCCACAGGAATGCGCAAATATACTTCTACAGATGCATCTGGTAGAACATTGAAAACCTCCCAGCCTGGGGTGGAATAGCTATTATTAAGCTGCCTGCTTTTATTTCCCTCTCTCTGCCAATACAGCTACATATGTTAAAGTGTATCTGCTGGAAAATGGGGCTTGCTTGGCCAAGAAGAAATCAAAGACTGTCAAGAAGAACTATGACCCGCTCTACCAGCAGGCCCTTCTGTTTGACGAGGGCCCTCAGGGTAAAATGCTACAGGTGAATGCTTTCCTCCTCTTTGAAGGGTAAGAGGATCCTCCTTCTGCCCATATGCATTTTAGAGCCATAATTCAGCCACAGGCCTACTGAGATGCCCTCACAGCAGCTCTCTGGTATCCCCTTGGGAGAGAACCTCCTACTAGATTTTAGACAGGCAACATATATAGGTCCAGTAGAAATTCTAGTCAGTTTCTCTGTGGCCTTTATGGGAAAGTGTTTCTGGTAGCTATTAAGTAGACAATCTGTATGGCTACAGTAGAGATTCCTGTTGGGTTGTCCTCTGAAAGGGTCTCTGGTGTCCTCATCAGAAATAAGGTCTTAGCTGCTTTCAGCTGGGGAACTTGTATAGTTCCCACGAGAGGTTCTGAGGCCCCAGTAGGGAGATTGAATGCTATGAAGATACTTGAAACTGAAGAAGAGGATTATCATGAATTGCCTCAACGATTGACTTTAAAATCTAGTTTTTTGTGAGGTCCCAATTTAGATAAAAATGGAGATATTTGGCTTCAGAAAGATGCTGAGTTTAAAATTCAATTCAGGAGTTAAAAAGTGAGGAACAAATGGCTTTTCAGATACTGCTAAGGAAGTCTTCCAGAAATCAAGGGAGGTATTGTTCAATGCTAAACATGGAAAAACACAGGTTTCACATTCCTGAAGAAAGAAATAGTAGTTTGATGGAGAATCAGAAAAATATTTCCCTGAAATCTTACTTGAGATCTTGGTATAAGCAAGATTTTTATTTTGAGCAATGGGATTTCATAGGGTTGGTTGTATGGTGCCCAAAGTCACTTTATGTGAGATGAGTGGCCATGCAAATTTGATTATTAAATAAATACAATAAATAAAAGTCAACTTTCCATAAATGATGAGTTATTAATGGCACCGGAGCTAAAATTATTGACTCATTTTTAGTTGAAAGAGCAATTTATGTTATACTTTGTCATGAGTTTGTCAAAAACAGATCATGCCAGACTAACCTTATTGCATTCTTTGACAAAGTGACAAAATTAGTGGGCCAGAGGAATGCTGTTGATATAATTTACTTGGACTTCAGTAAGGCTTTTGATAAAAGTAGTCCATAACCTTGATAAAGTAGAAAAATGTGGGTTAGACAGCATCACCACCAGATGGATTCATAACTGGCTGACCAACTACACTCAATGTGTAGTCCTCAATGGAACTGCATCTACATGGAGGGGAAAGTATGTAGTGGGGTACCCCAAGGCTCTGTTTTAGGCCCAGTACTCTTCAACATCTTCATCAATGACTTGGACAAAGGTATAGATGGGGAACTCATCAAATTTGCAGATGGCACCAAGCTAGCAGGAATAGACAACACTCCAGAAGATAAGCTTAAGATACAGAAGGATCTTGACAAACTTGAACATTGGGCGCTATCTAACAAAATGAAATTCAATGGGGAAAAAAGTAAGGTTCTACACTTAGGCAAGAAAAACAAAACACACAGGTACATTATATGTGGTACCTTGCTCAATAGTAACTGTGAGAGGAATCTTGGAGTCCTAGTGGACAACCATTTAAATATGAGCCAACAGTGTGCAGAAGCTGCCAAAAAAGCCAACACAGTTCTAGGCTGTATAAACAGAGGGATAGAATCGAGATCACGTAAAGTGTTAATACCACTTTATAAGGCCTTGTTAAGGCCACACTTGGGATAGTTGCATTTAGTTTTGGTTGCCATGATGTAAAAAAGATGTGGAAACTCTGGAAAGAGTGCAGAGAAGAGCAACAAAGATGATTAGGGGACTGGAGGATAAAACATATAAAGAACGGTTGCTGGAATTGGGTATGTGTAGTCTAATGAAAAGAAGGAGAGACATGATAGCAGTGTTCCAATATTTGAGGGGCTGCCACAAAGAAGAGGGGGTCAACTTATTCTCCAAAGCACCTGAAGGTAGAGCAAGAAGCAATGGGTGGAAACTAATCAAGGAGAGAAGCAACTTAGAACTAAGGAGAAATTTCCTGACAGTTAGAACAATTAATCAGTGGAACGACTTGCCTCCAGAAGTTGTGAATGCTTCAACACTGGAAGTTTTTAAGAAGAGTTTGGATAACCATTTGTCTGAAGTAGAGTAGGGTTTCCTGCCTAAGCAGGGGGTTGGACTAGAAGACCTCCAAGGTCCCTTTCAACTCTGTTATTCTATTCTATTTCATACTTACTTTCCATCTCCCCCTTTTCATGATCTTTATCACTCAGTTAGGGAAAGCCAAGAATTTCAGATCTGATTCTAGATTTCAGAGGAGAGCAAATAACTCCCACCGTTGGATAGTTGTAAGGTAATATTAAAAGGGTACCAGGACTAGAGTGCTTCTCAGTTGACCAACTGAAATGATCCTTCTTCTGGTTTTGGACACTGACTAAAAACTGATACTGAGGTGGGGGGGGGGGGGGGGAATGTTACAACTAACTGAACTTTGTGAGATTATGTGGATGCATTCACTAAATCTTTAACTAAATGGAAAAAGCATGTTAGGGTTTTTTCGAATCATTGGGCATTTGTAAATAGCTCCTAGCACTATCACTCAAAAGGCATTTTAATATCTCCTAATGTATAAACTGGGATTCCCATCAATTAAGCAAGAGCATATATTTTCCCATGTCCAGGATAGTAAATGATTGACAGAATGCAAAACTCACTTTTTAAAGACTGCAAGGTTCATGCTGATCAGTTTAAAGAAATATCTTTGAGTTGCAAAATAGACCACTCCTACCTTACCTAAGAATAAGTCTGGAACCCAAGGAAAGATAGGTTTAGAGTCAACATAAGTAGGACTATGCTGTTAATGATTTATGATAATAGTATGAAGAACCAGGAGGTTAGCCAAAAACAGAAACATCCCCAAGGATTAATGATGGGAGTGTTAGTAAAGGCCTTCTACTTTCTTCCTGACTCTCTGAAGATCTTCTACTCTTCTGATTCTCCTTTCTTGGATTCTCTTGGTAATTCAGCCCATCCTCCTTCTTCCCTTTAGGTGATCGTCTGGGGAGATTATGGTCGCATGGACCACAAGTGCTTCATGGGGATGGCTCAGATTGTCCTAGATGAGCTGGACCTGTCCAGTGTAGTGACAGGTTGGTATAAGCTCTTTCCCACTTCCTCATTGGCAGACTCCACCATTGGACCCCTTACTCGTCGCCTTTCTCAGTCTTCACTAGAGAGTTCAATAAGCCCTTCTTGTCCCTAAAGAAGACAACACAACAACAGAGAATGCCTTGTTCTACCACGGCTTCCGGTAGCATGGTTTGTAAATATTCCATGTTTTTTCCTCCCATCACCCTTTCTTCTTCTTCTCTTCCTCCTCCTCCAAGAAGAGAAAACTGTTCCAGTGACTTTAAACATGTCTGACCCTCCCTCTCTGGGTGGACAAAATAGGAGAGATCCAGAAGGTGATGGGGGAGGAATTGAAAGGGAAAGAAAAGAAACACGTATTAAGGGGGGAAAACAACAACCCGATAAAAAACTGCCAGTTTCAAGACTGTTAAATCACCCCAAAGAAAATCACCTGTGAAAAGGAGTAAACTGTTTCTCATGTTTGAAACATCTTTGACAGCATCTCAAGCGTTAAACTCACTTCAAAAGAGCATGTTAGGTTTTCTTTCTTTCTCAGTCCTGTTTTCTTTTGGCATCTCTGGAGAAGAAGCTTTGGCTGGTTCTCCTAGTGTTTCTTTAAAAAAAAAAAAAAAAAGAAGGGGAAAAAATGGAATGCAGCACTGCTAACATTTTTTTAAAGGAATGTAGCATTTTCAGACATTATGTAGCTTGCCATGTGCTTACGGATTCCTCTGCAATATTTATACAGTACGGCCATCTTCCCACCTGGCAGGAGCTGTCAGCATTTCACTTCCTGCTTAAATCCCGGGTTTGGAATCCTGGAGAAAGCAATTTTGTTTGCGTTGCATATCTGGAGAAGGATAGGAGGATCTGCCAAAGGTGCGGAAGAAGAAAGATCTCCAAAGGGTGCATTTGACTGTTAAGTTCAAAGAATACTAAGACTCATGTTTTGCTTTGTCATGCTTAGAGGAATTTAATTGTGTCTCCTCCTTCAGACATCCTTGCTTTAGATACTGGATCTTTGATGCTACTTTAGCAAGGCATATGCAAAGAATATGCCTCTTACTAAAATGGGCCCTTTGTTCAGTTTTGTCCTCACTGTGTCTGCAGCCCAAAAGACAAGATATCAAACCAACCAATTTTCAAACAGAAGATGAAACGTAACAAGAAGATATGTACTGGGCCAACGCAGAAGTCCTTCAAAAGTTCATAGGATTTCTCAAAAGGATGAGTATGGAGTCTCTCCATTTATTAACTGTTTTCAGTTTAACCCAATCTGGATGCAATCCTAAACCAACTAATTTGTTAAACAAAATAATCGAACATTTGATGGAATTTGCTTCTGTGTAAACCTGCATAGGCTGGATTGTTAGTTGTGTGAATATGTGTTCTATGTAGCAATCTGGTCTCTTGGTAATGGCCAGTTCTCGTAGCAAAATTGAGAATTACAGAAGCTTCTCATGAAGGTGCCTACTAAAATTTGTTGCAAATACTCAGGGGAGATACTACTGAAAATCACCATTTATTTATTGTTTCTGTTATTTTTTTAAAATTTCCCATGGACTGTAGGAACAGTAAAAGCTGACGGATTGAGTATCGAAGAGGCAGCAGCCTGAAAGTTACTGGTTAGTTTCTGAATATTAGACAGCCTTGGAAGTGGCTCTTAAATTGAAATGCTACAGTTGGCAAAGGACTCACTTTAGCTATCCACATTTGATTTTAACTGAAGGCCAAGGAACTGTTTTACTTCTTAGGTTTATTATATAAATAAAATAAACATGGATTCTTCTGTAACTCCAGCTAGGATGAAACACAAGGGAAGTTCTCAAGAAGAAAATGAAGGGGAAATAAAAGTAATAGCAATTATTTTTTCCCTTACAAGGATGACAAGTTTCCAGAATATGTGTTGATGGGATGCTGTCACACCCTTCAAAAAAGCATATGTAAATATATTAGTAACCTATTTCAGCAACATGAACGTGCAGCGATTTTTGGATATGGAATTTCTGTAGCCATCAATTTGCCCCTACAATTTCACCAGACCAAACCCATCTACTGGTTTCAAAGAAGGGAGTTGATGATGTTACCTTGGCCTTGTTCTTCTTCAACGCCATGTTGTTCTGTTGCTCTCTACATGTATGGACTGTTGTGACATTTTCCAGAATAAGCAATATATTGGTTTTGAGTTCACACCTGAGACACGCTGTCTTGTTCATTTTAGAAAGTCTTTTCTTGGCAAAAAGACAAAAAAATGTGTCATCTGGCATTCCCCTCTAAACCAAGAAATGTTGCCTGGTTTCACTGCATCCTGAATCTGAGTTTGAATAAATGCAATTCACAAAGGATTTTTTTTTAAAATGCAAAAGCGGGACTAACTCAAAGTTTGCCTCTAATGATAAAATGTACTCAATCACTCGGTCGTCTTGTTTTGCAGAAGCCTTGTGATAGTTTGTCTCATTGAATCAGCACAAGTTTCCCTCTAAAATACAATTTTTAGTGAGTAGCAGGATTGTGCCTCCCTCAAATTATGACTCTGAGATTTGAGGAGCCATGGTGACAGTTCTTCTAAAGGATACCACTTAGCACAACAATTATTTAAAATATAAGCAAGGGAGGCAGAAAAGATTTTGTGCAACCAATGACAGGCTTCTCTTGAAGGGACTCCACGAAGTGCCTGAAGAAAGTACAATCGTCCGTAGAAGGTGTTCCTGGTTCAAGAAGTCCTGCCGCAGAAAGAGCAGCTGGTGTCAATGAAGAGCAAGAGTCCACTCTTCTTTCAGTTCCTAAACCAAGAAGAGTCCTTTGAAGACCAACCGTGTTCTTGAGACTGAAGTTTTACTTATCCAGGGATCCTTGCACATTTTCCTAGATAGTTGACAACTCTGCCAGTATAAATACCCTCTTCTTTAAAGCATAGAAGCATCGTTTGAACAATCCCCAGTGCTCCAGACAATTGCTCTACAGCCCCCCAAGCTTGCCATGAACCCAGTTTCTGGGGCCTCTGAACTTTCCTACCTCGACCTTAGACCACTCTGGATATCTGCTTGTATCATCTCTTTGGCTTGATCACTTAGACTTGTTTTGTCTTTTCCAGTGTCTTGATTGCTGACCCTCAAAACGGTCTGTGCTTGTAAGATCTTGAACTGTGTTTCATCTTAGCCAAGCAGCTCCTGGAAAATATTTCATTGCCAGCTTCAAGCTGTGGTCTACACTGAAGAGTGTCCTGGCTTCCTTAGCAAGTAATACTAGTTGTAGGAATACACCTGGCATCTTTTGGCAGCAAACAGGCAAGAGGATGCCTTATTTATCCATGGAAAGGTCTGTATAATAATCCTGTGGTGTAAAAGAACAAGGATCAGACACTGCCACATCTGGAGACATCTCACCTAGTTTAGAAATGGTACCGTCAGTCTGAAAGACTGGAACAATGAATAGATAAATAAATAGATAGATAGAAATCAAATTAACTCTGTTCCTGTGTAGTGAAGTAAAGGTACTAGGGATTTCTAAACAGCTTCAGTATTTTTATAGTGGTTCAGACCACTATATGATGTGACCCTAAGAATGGCATGCATGATATTGCAGTCAGGCACATATTGAAAGTACAGTTGGAACCGCTAAGACGTTTCACCTGCTTTTATACATTCAGCACTGATGGAAAGGGGTATAAGATGTACATCCCAACATAAGAGCTACAAATCTAGATGCAACTTGGCATTAGTCCACTTCCATCTCAATAGAAAGTTTTGGATTTGCCAGCCAGCCCATAATCAGTTTGATAAAAGTCTTTATTTTATTTTATTTTTTAAAAAAAACTATTCTCACAGTCAGGAGTTTATGTTAGAGAGATGATGAGGCTTCAGATAGAGTTTTTTTGTCCAAAAACCATTCCCAAATACATTTCATGGGAACAAAACAAAAAAGCAACTAATTCCAGAACATTAAAGGAGCTTTGGGTTTTTATTTCATAAGCATCAGCCTCTCTTTTGTGCCAGAGCTGATGGTATCTCCCACTCAGAGGATTTGATGAGGGCAAAAGTCCCAGTGAGGGATCACAAATGCCTTGGGACACGTGCTAAGAAAGAGCCCTCTGGATCTCGGTTTTTCTATTTGGGCTGTGACCTCCTTTTTTTTTTGGAATGAAATCTCTGCACAAAATGAAAAAAAAATCCCAATGATAAAATATAAAAAAATACCTGTTGAAATATTACCTTTTTTTCAAAAATAGGGGGGAAATAGTGATACCCCCAAATCATTATATTGGCTTCAAATTGGGTAGATCCAGAGGACATTTATATATCATGATCTGCATTTTGAAGTGGACCACTGGACCTGCCACGTTTTCCAGATGATGCTGTTTTTCGCCCTCTAACATTGCTTCCTTGTCTCCTGTTTTATGTGACAGGAATCACTGAAATCTATTTTATTTATCTGGCATATTTATATCCCATTTTTCTTCCCTTGCGGAATTCAAAGTGGCCCCAACAAACCTTTCATTTTATCAAAGCGTCTGTTTCATATAGATTATTGTCAAGAAAGGGCTGGGAAGTTTAGAAAACAGGTTCTGTTTCACTAAAGGTTGGCCTCTGAGCACAATGTACCAGAATTATTTGAATGGCTGGAACCTGATCCAAATGAACAAGAACTCTGGTGAATTGTGCACTTTTAATTTTAATCCACACTAATTCAGTGTAGAATAAGAGTTAACAATAACAAACTGCCAGCTAAAATGGACAAATGAGCTAAGCAATATTGGGATCGAGATAGAATTTGTCGAAAGATTAAAAAAAAAACAGCCCTTTACAGGGGGACATAAAATGCCCCTGGACTTTTTTTCAGCACAAAAGGCAATTTGATCCAATTTACAACTGAGATGCATGATAGATTCAATACTGCCACCTGCTGGTTGGAGAGATCCCACAAACAACTTCAGTAAAGACGAGACTAAAAAGGAGCAGCAGCTCGCATCCTAAAGCACCACCTCCCTCCGGGTAACCCGACTCTGCAGAAATCTTGACTCATGCTACCCAAAGAGGCTTCCCATTAAGTAAAATTAAAGAAGGAGGAAATGGATGTTTTTTTTTTCTCCATGGTCGATGAACTGAAGTATATGAAGATGGGAACAATGGCTAAAATTCTTTTTACCAAACTATTTCTACCGGAATGGTAATTAAGGGTGCGAGACAAGCTGCCTGAGTAAAGTGCAAATTGTTGGTTGTATACCTCATGATTTTATAACTAATATGTTGTGACTTGTTTTGTCTGTTAGTCTAGTTATAGAAGCAGTAAGAGATGGTAAAGGTACAGGGATGGTAGGATTCCGTGAGCACATCTCTTTTCTTTTTTTGCCTTCTCCTTCGATGTGCAAAGGAATTATGTGGGAGAGTTTCTCCAGTATTGGGTATTTATTTTAATAATGCAAATTCTTTTTTAAAAAATCCAAAGTTGCTTTGCAAACTCAAAGAAAAAAAAACATAGCTAGAACGGTGTTACACTGTTAAGGTGTTAGACTGTTAGACAACCTGAAGAGAAGTCAATAAGTAGTAAAACAGCTTATTGAATTCCAGCTATTCAAACAATTAAGTTGGACCAACTTTTATGAGAATGTTTCCCATCCTGTACATGAGAATTCTGGGAAATGTAGTCTCAATACCACTGGGATTCTCCAGGATACAGGTAGCTGATTTATGACTTGATAGCCTTGAATATTTATTTTGTCCAAGCATTTCCCATAAAAATGTTTTTTTTCCCCCAACCAGACCCAGCTGTTCCCTGAATATTAAAGCTTCTTTCAGGATGTGTTTTTTTTATATCATCAGTGTGATGAATATGGAAAACCATCATGACTGGATGTTGCATCAGTCTGGCTGTTCTGATGCCTTCCTACCAAAGTTAACATTTCAAAGTGGAGGGGCCTCAGAGCTTACACAAACTCGTGATTGCCCTTGCAACGGGATTCAGGAAAAGCGTGCACAGTTGCAAAATATATTTTGGGGTCTGCTGTTCTCAGGGGACACACTACTGTTGCACTCTCAAAGATACAGGATTAAAACAAGAATACAAGATGGTTAAAACGCAATAGAGAAAAGGGATCCTGGCCTGGGCTTTTGAATGTCTCTCACCTGAAATCAGCCATTCTTAGTGGAAACTGGGACACCCCCCCCCCCCAACTACAGGATCTGTTGCCTGTTTTGTAGCTTTTAAAGGAAAAAAAAATAGTATATTTTAAATAAAAAAACCTTTGGAGATGATGACTGAGAAAAGAGATGTGTATGGAGATGGTACTGATTTTATGTCACTAGCTGGGTGTGGGGTGGGGGAGAATAGGACTTATATATGCTTGTCTCACTGGACAATCTTGTCTCTGTTTGAGGTTCTTGGGATGTGCTGAGATTCTGTCAATCATGCTGATTCGGAATTCCAGTCCTAAGACACCTACGGGAGGAGATTAGTTTGGGGAAGGTTAGACTAACCATTCTAGTTGCTGCTGGAATAAAGGATCTGTTATTTGTATAATTGTGGTAAAGATGTTAAAGCAATGCTCTTCTGATGCCAGAGTTCTTCTCACTCTGAGCCTGGGTGCAATAGGCTGTCTTGAGTTGGACTATCTGGCTCATTGGATAGCAAACCCCTCTGGATCGTAGCACTTTTGATGTTGGTGGCCTTGTTGGTGTTTTCCTTTTAAAATATAAGGGCTTATGTGTTTTCATGTTAATGATGGATAACTTTCTTCTCCCCACCAATTAGTTCTTCCAATGCCCTCCTTTCCCCAAAAAAGAATGTTGATCAAAGCAGCTTATTGTTCACTGTGACATTGTGAAATTACTCCCCAGAGACGGTCACGAGAAACTGGAGGCAATGCTACCTCTAAATTTTGTTTGGCCTGGAGCCATTCTGAAACCGAACCTCAGTAGGGGCTTAAGATGTATTTGTATTTATTTATTGGGGTAATTTATATCTGGCCTTTCTCCTAAAAACACGGTTGATAAGGCAGCAAGCAAAAGCTTTATAGAATAAAAGAAAAATATTGATAGTAATTTAAACTTGACCTGGAAGCTCAAGTTCATTGTCCTCTTTTAAAAAGACCTATCTGACAGGAGGAATCGAACACTTCAGCTAAGGTTGGCTGAAAGGGAATGTTTCCATTGACACATTGAAAGTACATCTTTATAGCAGTCATTCAGAACAGAAGGCCCCAAATGATAACAGAATACAAATCAGACCAGACAGTAGTTTTTAAAATATCAGTTAAGTAACATCAATGGAAGGACTGGCTTGGGAAAAACAACGTGATCCATAGAACTCCTTGAAACTATAGTACAAATAGTTTCTAAAAGGATTGTGAAAAGGAAACCATGTAGAGTGGCAAGATTTAGATTTAATGCAAGACTTGTGGGGTCTTTGCTAGTAAGACTTAAAATCTGGGTGGCCATCCCACAGGTGTTTTCCCAAAAGGCAACTGGGCTTTCTTGTTTTTTTTTTCTTTGAAAATGTTTTGTTTCCCATCCAAGAAGCTTCTTTGGTTCTAACTAGCTTCTTGGATGAGAAGCTAAACATTTTCAAAGAAGAAAAAATATATCAAGAAAGCCCAATTGCCTTTTGGAAAAGCACCCTTGGAACAACCATGACCTTGGATGATTGAGAATTTCCACAATCTG